GCCCTGGCGCGGGGCGCGGGGCGCGGGCGGGGACCCTGGGCGCCCCGCCCTCCGCCCCCCGCCCCCGGCGCTCCCGCCCGCCCTGCTCCCCCTCGGCCCGGGCCGGCCTGGAAACCGGGGTCCAGCCTGGGTGCCCCGGCTCCCCCTTTCCCGGACTTGGATTTAAAGGGACAGGAACTGCGTAATGGGAAGGCGCCCAGCACCCAGGGTGCTCTCTGCAGCTCCGGGCGCCGCGAGGCGAAGCCCGGGAGACCAGGCCCGGCGGTGGGGGCGCCCCGCCCGTCTCCGCGCCGCCGCCCCGCGCCCCGTGCTCGGTGCCCGGCCACCCTGCGACGCTGCCCGGGACCTGACCGGAGAGGGTTCCTCGCCCACAGGTGGTTTCCCCACGAGACAGTCCATCCTTCCTCACCGACAGTTTGGGTGCGCACGTGGCTGAGGGGGCGCTCGCTTCAGAAAACATGTATTTGAAGAATGTCCGTTCCCCGTAAATTAACGTAAAGTCTGGCCCCATGCTCTTGTCCAGGATAAGGGCACCCCAATCCCATTCCTCCAGGCCGCCCCGGCCATCAGGTAGCCCCCCACTGCGGAGGCGGGCGCTTTGGGAGAACCAAGTGGGACCGCCGTCTCCCTCCATACACACTCCCACCCCACCCCAGGTGACGGTGTCCGGTTCCTGAATCCGAGTATCCCGGGACCGATTTAAAATGCATTTCCTGGGCCGTAAGTCTGCAGGCAGGGGCCGCGTTCCCAGCTCTCCGGGAACGTGTGCGGCAAATGGCAGCAGCGCAGGGAGATCGCATGGGCTCCTGAGTAATCGGAGCGCGGGCTGGTGGCCGGGCCGAGGGGAGCCAGGACGTGCCAGCCGGGCGGCGCAGCCTGGGATCCAGCCCCGGAAGAGGTACGATTGGAGGCCGCCAATTAGCCGGGGGCCCTGCTCACACCTTCACCTGCCTGCATCGTTCCCACCTTTGGCTAAATAGGCTCCCACTGGGAAACTAACCCCATCCAGGACTCCCCGTGTTCAAGCTCAACTTCTTGCCTGGCTCTGGGCACCAAAGCCCCTTCCTAAAGGGCCACCAGCTGCGTTCTTACCCACCCTCCTCCAGCCCTAGTGGAGGGACCATTAGGGAAGGACCTTCAGGGATTTTTCCCATTTCACTTTGGGATTTGCCATTACAATGGTTGAATGTACTTCCCAGTGGGTGTCCTCTGTGCTAGGAAGGTTCCTCTAAATGCCCCTGGGGTGGTGGTGGTGGCTGGAATTGTAGGGTCAGGCACATCACGGACTTGAGAGGAGTTGCAAATGGCTCTGCAAACACCTTGAGTAAATTCCTTCTGATTCTCCACTTCCTGGCCAACACTTGGTATCAGGTTTCCACTTACTTTACTTGCCAATCTAAATGCGTATGAAATAGTATCTCAGGGCTGTTCGGTGTCAAAGAAATATTACCCATTGTGAATGTGTAGGCAGAGGGACTACAGACTATCCCCACAAGATTCAGGTTCAAATCCTGCCTCCAGAGCCTGCCAGCTGTGTGACTTTGGGCAGCCTCTTAACATCTCTGAGCTCAGTTTTCTCACCTGTACAATAGGGGTAATAATAGTTGCCACAAGGGTGCTGTGAGAATTGAAGAATCTGGGCGCTTACATGGTAAGCATTCAAGAAGCAGGAAGTGGCACAGTTGTCAGGAGGCCAGTCCCCCATCGAAGTCATGGATTCTGACACAGGACGCCAGCCTTCAGCCTGCTCCCCTGTGAAATGCTGTTGACATAAAATTGCCTTTTCTCTTGTAACAGCAATCTTTATTTCCAACCCATTCTTTGCTAGTTCAGCAGCCCTTCCTCACACCAGCAAGTGGATTGCAACTGAGATCTTGTTGGAAAATGGTGATTGGTTCTAGTCACCGGTCAGCGCCTTCTACCTCTGGCTAATGCATACCCTTCCCCCTGGCAAGTCCAGTACGGCCCCCCACCCCACCCCACACCTGACCCCCCTCCTCTTCCATGCCCACTCAGATTCTCTGAAATGCAGATAATAGAGGCATGTGTTTTGTGCAATTTGGAAACCATTCTCCCATAAAGTAGGGCTGCAGTATTGATTTCATTTTGGAGGAACCGCTCCAAGGCTCTGAACATAGTGCCACCCAGCAATTCCAAAACAGAAACCAGGGAGAAGCAATGAAAAGCTGTCCCACATGCAGAATTTCTCGTCTCTGTGTGCTGGGCTCTGGGATGCACACCTCACATTAGCAGCCCCTTCCCACGCCCGGGCTTACAGACTCACCTTCATACCAACGACAGGGCCGCCTTGGTGAAGGGCCTAGTGCCCGGCCAAAGGGGAAGTAATGCCTGAGTCTAGCCCATGCTGTCCAGTCTCCCAGCCTGTAACCCGCGCTCCCTCCCCCCCCACACCCCCGGGCCTCCAGGCATGTACAGCCTTTCCCTTGCCCGCAGCCTCTTCCCGGGACCAGGAAGTTTTCTGGTTGCAGCTCCAGGAAGGCGTCCCGGTTTCCCCCTGCGTAAAGAAGGCCCCTCCCCACGTCCCTGGGAGCCAGCCCCCTTCAGAGAGCTCAGCTGCAGTGCAGTCACCTGTCTGGTGTGTGCGTGCTCACCCCGACACTGTGTGATGTCTGCAATGAGGTCTCCTATGTGCTCTGAGGCATGAGGCTGACGGTCCTACGGAGAGGTGGGCGGGCTGGTGAGTAGAGCAAAAGTGACACAATGTGACTTTGAAGGGTGGGGCGCACACAGTGACGCAGCTTCTGCCTCATGCTCCCCCAGATGCTGGAGCTGGAACCGAGTCACCATGCTGTGAGGAAGCCCAAGCAGCACCTGGAGCAGCGCCCAGGGAGAGACCCGGGACCCGCAGTGCACAGCCCTGCTGCACCTTGGCCAGCACAGGCACCATGGGACAGCCTGGACTGTGCCACCTTGACAGGCGCTCTGGTCAGCCTCCCAGCCACTGCCTGGAGCAGGGCCACACCCCAGAGCTTCCCCACCATGCGTGGCCATGATTTCAATTTCCTCTTTCTTTTTTTATTGAGATAATTGACAAAGAGCATCACATTAGTTTCAGGTATACAACATAATAATTGGACAGTGATGGCCACATCGCCGAATGATGGCCACAGCGAGTCTCATGAGCACCTGTCACCTTGCATAGTTATAGGATTTTTTTTTCTTGTGATGAGAACTTTTGAAATTTACTCTCAGCAACTTTCAAAAATGAAATACAGTACCATGACGCGTAGCCACCATGCTGTACATCAGGTCCCCAGAACTCCCTTTATAGCTGGCAGTTTGTGTCTCTTGATCCCTTCACCCATTCCACCCACACCCCACCCCCTGCCTCTGGTGACCACCACTCTGTTGTCTGTCTGTGACTTTGGATTTTTGTTGTTGTTTGTTTGAGTCCACATATATGTGAGGTCATATGGTATTTTTCTTGCCGTGTCTGCTTTGTCTCCCTCAGCAGAAAGTCCTCAAGGTCCATCTTTGAGAACAACATTCATTCTCTCTCTCTCTCCCTCTTTTTTTTTTTGGCTGAGTGATAGTGCGTTGTGTATATGTACCACATTTCCTTTATCCATCCATCTGTCGATGGACACTTGGGTTGCTTCCAACACATTTCAGTTTCTGAACAAAATGAATGACTGCAAGGGTCAGGTGCGCTGCAGCTCAGAGCCTCACTCTGGCCCATGCCTGCTGGAAGGAACAAAGCTGGGCTGGAACACAAGCCCACCCATCCCTCTACATGTGGTTATAGCTGCTGGCACACTGTGTGTGTGATGGCGGAGCTGAACAAGTTTCCACGGAAACCACATGGCCCATAAAGCCCCAAGTATTTACCATCTTGTCCTTTACCAAAAAAGTTTGCCAAGCCCTGTGTATTCATCTGCTCAGGCTAAGGTAACCAAATACCGTGGACCGAGTGGCTTAAACAATAGACATTCATTCGTTTCTCACTGTTCTGGAGGCTGGACGTCTGAGGTCAGGGAGCCATCGTGGCTGGGTTCTGGTGAGGGCCCTCTTCCTGGCTCGCAGACAGCGCCTTCTCTCTGCGTCCTCATGTGGCACAGAGAGTGAGGAAGCTCCCCGGTGCCTTTTCTTATGAGGACACTGACCCCTGCCCTCTGACCTCATTTATACTTAGTCACTTCCTCACACCAGATGCAGGCCAAACTGGGGGTGAGGGCTTCCCTGTATGAGTTGGGGGGACAAACAAATATTCAGACCGTAAGACCCGTTTGAAGCCACTATGTTTTATCGTGGTTTGTCACACAGCGGTAGTGATGAGAGTGGACTGTGCGCTTCATGCAGACAGAACCGCATCCATTCACCGCCTTGCCCCCAGCGGCTGGCTCGCGGTCAGCGCACAAGGCACTTTCACTACACAAATATCCTGGCCCGGGAGTTGGTGTTAACTAGCTTGGTGATGGGAAAACTCCCAGGCACCGGGGAACCCAAACTCTGATCTTGGTTCTGACACCAACTTGTGCTGCGTCAGGCAAGTCTCCCGACTTCTGGAAGCTAAGTGTCTTCACGTATAAAATGGGGAAATAGACGGTTTCCCTGGCTCCTTGGTTCTAAAGTTCCAGAAGTTTCCTTAGCACTCATTGCCCACTTCTGCCCAGCATGACCCTGCCATGTGGGTGGTGGGTGGTTTCACTGTCTGTGCTGTGGGTCACACTTCACGGCAAGCATCGAGCTGGTCAGGGGAGCCTCTAGAGGGGCTTATCTTCCTGGGGTCACCACGGGCCAGCTTCCAGGGTGTGGTCTCTTGGCGCTGTGGCAGCCCCAGACGGGCCCCATCACAGAGACTCATGTGAACACAGGCGCTTTCCTCGGCCACGGCGCCTGGGCCAGTCAGGAACAGCGTCCGGCACAGTTCCCTGAGGGCCTGGGTGTGAAAACTGGCTCTGAACCTCCTTCTCCTCATCTGTAAAATGGCACCAACACCTGTTCCGACTTCATAGTGTTGGGGCAAAGAGTCCATGACTCCACACAGGTGAGGAAGGTGTCCAGGGGCCCCTCGCTAAGGCAGAGCTGTGACTGTCTTACCCCTCCGTGTCCAGGCGGGTGCTCCAGGAGCGACACGATCCTCATGACAGGAGCTGCCTCGGCTTGGGGCTGCTGGAGGAGCCCCATGTCCTTCCTCACCCCACACCCTCCCCTCCAAATCCGTGGGCTCGCCAGCAGTAACTCCCCACCTGCCCATACTCGGACCTCAGGGAAGACATGGTTGTGCAGAGGTGCCCGTGAGGGACTAAACCTCGAGACTGTTCTGGAGCTCTTGAACCCCCCAAACCAGAGCAGAGAAAGATGGCAGCCCTGGCGAGGGGTAAGGTAACAAGTCATCAGGATTATTGGCTAGTGTTGCCTGATTTCTCTGTGCTGGGACCTAGAGTGCCTTATCTGAGTCTGGGCATGACCCTTTGGAGTCCAGACTGTGACTGTCCCTTCTTTCTTAAAGATGGGGAAACTGAGGTGTGGGCAGGCATGGCCACACACAGCTAGCAAGTGCCAGCCCCAGGACCTGACCCGGAAGGGTGAGGAGAGCTTTGAGGGGATCACGTCCCTGGCTGCTCCCCAAAGCCAGTGCCCATCCTCAGGGCGGCATTCCACCCCTTGGGGTTGATCTGTGCAGAGATGGGAACAGAGGGCTCCTTAGTTCCTGTTTGATTGCTGGACACCCAGGGTCAAAAGTCTGCAAAGGAGAAAAATTGAGAAACTTTCATCCAAGCTTTGAAACCCACCTCTGTGACACCCCGCTGGTGCGTTCTCCTGTGCCCTGGGGCTGCCTAGGCCCCCACCCCAGGGCAGGAAATGCCAGTGAAGACTGTGGCCCTTGCCCAGCATTGTCCAGTGGTTACTTCGCTTATTCCTCATAACAACCCCCAACTCCAAGATGTGGGTCCTAGAGGACATCATCCCCGTGTTGCAGATGAAGAAACTGAGGCAGAGGGCAGATAAATTACTTACCTAAGATAGGTAAGCAAATAGGAAGAAACGGTTCTCCAGGCTGAGCACTCCAAGTTCAAGTGTTTCCAGACTCATCCAAAACTGTCTCCCAGGAGGTTCAGGAACCTTGTCCCTGACAGCCAGTGGGTGCTTGCTGCCAGCTGGGCTACCAGCTCCCCCAAGCTACGTCAGCCCCAGGGGGTGCCACTTTATGGATGCGGCTGAGGCAGTGGGGCTAACCTGCTGGAAAGTGGCACAGTTTGGATTCAGAGCAGGCAGGTGGCCTTCCCTTCCTGTCCTGCTGTCTTGCAACTTCCCTTAGTCCTGGTCCCTCAACTGGCTTCTGCCCCTCAGCCGCTGGAACCATGACATCAAGATCTGGCAGCCGTTGCAGCAGTGAGAGGGCTGTGCTCCATCTGTGCACAGGTGCCCCGCAGGTGCCAATCCTTGCACCATCCTGTCAAGAGGGTTGCCCTTGCGCACCTCCCACCTAGATTCCCTTCTACCTGCCCCAGCGAACAGCCATGCTGACCTGTATCACCTGCCTTATCCTTAAGCCTCATAGAAATGGAATCATACATTTATGTCTGGCTTCTTTTGTTCAGTGTTGTGTGACAGATCCATCTGATTTGGTGTGTGTACCTGCACTTTTTGTGTCAGTGCTGCATAGTATTCTATTATGTGAATATACTACAGTTTATTTTCTAGTCTCCTGCTAATAAACATGTGTGTTGTCTCCAGTTTGGGGTTATTTCGAATAAAGAAAGTATGAGCGCCCTTCTGTCTTCTGCTGGACACTCATTCCTTTTGAGTTTATGCCAAGGAGGGAACTAACTGGGGCCTAGGGCAGATGCATATTTAATTCTAGTACTTTGTTTTCCAAAGTGGTTGTCAATTTGCAATCCCCCAGCAGGGGCTGAGAGCTCCAGCTGCTCGCACCCTCACCAACACTTGGTAATGTCAGCCTTTTTAACGTTAGTCAATCTAGTGGCTGTATGCTGGTATCTCATTGTGATTTTAATTTGCATTTCTCACATAAACACTTTGTAAATTAAATATTCTTTATTTTACTTATGTTTTCTTACTAAATTTTATTTTTTGATATTTATATATTTATATTCTTATTTTTTATTTGTTGTTTTTATTCATACAGTTTCCTTCTAAGAATATCACATGCTACTCATTTCCTATTTAGATGACTAATGTAAACTTTTCATTGAAACTAAATCTACCAAGTTAAAAAATAAAAGGCAGGGGGAGATCTGCTTAAAAATATCATGCAGTTAATGGGCCAGCAGGGATGAGAATGTGGCAGTTTGCTGGAAGACAGACGGATCTCCCTGACCTCAAGGATACAGGTAAAAGGGGGCTCTGGATGGAAGCAGAGCTGGAAAGGCGCACCCCAGGTCTCCCCTTTTCCTGCCCTAAGTCTCTCTTGGCCTGTTTTACGGTTCTGTCCACCACAGACCAGCTTTCTCTGCTGCGGTCTGCTCTTTCCATTACCTCTGAGACCTAATCCCTGACAGTCAATAAACCGGACTCTGTGAACCCTGATTCCTGGGAGAGAGATTCAGCTTCGGTCAGCTTGAATCAGCTGCACATTCCCAACCCCAGCAGCTGTGGGCAGGGAGTGGGGTCCTGCCTGTGACAGCGGGAAGACATGGTTGGCGTTGCCAGGGCAAGCAGAGGAAATACATGCTGAGCCAAAAACGAGAGGTGTGTGCTCTCCATGGAGCAGATGGCCTGAGGCTGAGAACGGAAGACCTTTGAAAAAGTGGCAGGCATATTTTACTTCCTTATTTACCTAGATCTAGAACTATCTCTGACTCCAGGGAGTACTGCCACTGGTCATTCAATTTCTAGATGAAGATGATTATGAAGAAGAGAGAGGTGGGGGAGGGAAGGGGAAAGAGAGGATATAGCAGCAGTGATTTCAATGGATTAGCAAGAAGGAAAAAGAGAGGCTATGGTGATGATTGCGGTGATGGTGGTGGCGGTGGCGATGGTGTTGGTGTTGGTGGTGGTGACAACGGCAGCAGTGGCGGCGGTGGTCGTGGTGATGTGGTGGTGGCTGCGGTGATGGTGGTTGTCGTGGTGATGGTGGTAGCGGTCTTGGCAGCGGCAGAGGTGATGGTGGTGGTGGTGGTCGTCATAGTGATGATGTGGAGGTGGTGGCGGTGGTGATGGTGGTCATCATCGTGGTGATGGTGGCAGTGGTGACGATGATGGTGGTCATCGAGATGTGGTGGTGACGGTGTTGATTATGGTGATTAATTATTACATTTACGTTTCTAGCTCTATACTGAGCACTTTACATTCACTATCACATTTAATCCTAAAACAACTTTATGAGACTGGTACTATTATTATTCCCATGTTCCCTGAGACAACCTGAGGCTTGGACAGGTCAAGTCACTTGCCCAGGGCGGAAGTAAAGCCAAGCCGCCAATAGCAGAGCACAGGCTGGCAGCCACCGTGACTTCTGTCTCAGGTATGTGAGCCTCCCCCTGCCCCGGGGACATGGGTTGTCATCTGTGGTCAAGGCACATATTCATCCAATTTAATGAAAGGCTATGGAGCAAATGCCTATGACAGAACAAATGAATAAACGAATGCCAGTGAGCCCTCCCTCAGCACTCGGTGAACCGAAGCTTGTCCCGTGAGTGACCAGTGGAGCCTGCAGGTGCTGACACTCACTCAGCTGTAGCTATTTCCAATCTGCATTTTGACCCTGCTTGACATGGGCTGATGTCACCGATATGGCACCTGGGGACACAGTCTAGGGCAGAGAAGTGGGGAGGATGAGAGAGGCCCCACCCTCATTTCCTGCTCAGCAGGTGGTGTGGGACGCATAAGACACCCAGAGAAGTGCTTCCTGCTGGATGGCTTTTCTCTGTTCCCTCCTCCCCTGCCTCCCGGGGCTGATAAGTGTGATCAGGCTTCATTAGAATGAGGCAGCTAGCGGTTCCTCATGCCTCTCCCTCATCTGCTGTGTATCCGACTCGCCCATCCCCATGGGAGGCCAGTGAGCCAGGCGGTGCAGGAAGAGGCACGTGGGTCTGCTGGTTCGCTGAAGAGGAAGATGAGCGTCATGAGGTCTGGGCAAGGGCTGTGGGCTGTGGGCAAGGGCTGTGGGCTGTGGGCTGAGCTACCATAGGTCGGTGGGCATATCTTGGGGTCAAAGCCAGTGTGGGAAGGCTCAGAGGTGGAAGACATGAACCCAGAGGCCACAGTGGTGGACTGGAGCTCTGGCCAGTGTAGCCCAGCTTTGTTCAGTGTGCAGCCCAGGCCAGGTGTGCTGACACACTGTCCTACCCATGCGTTTCATCAGAGCCCACCAGCCTCAGGATCCCACCCTGCTTTCTTGACGTACTTTACGAGACCTCCTGAGCAGTGCCTGCCTGTCCCTTCCTCATTCGCCCCCCCTACTCCATGCCTTCTGCCCTCACATATTCTGTTCCCCTGCCTGCTGCACTCTTTCATCTCTCAGCCAGGAAGCCTTCCTGACCTCCACGCCAGCCAAGGCCAGGATGGGTGCTGCTGCCCTGCACTCCCACGGCCCCGTGGACCTTCTAATCACAGCACTGGACCCACAGTGTGGCCCAGGTTTGTTTTGCCACCAGCACTCTCTGCTGGATGCTTAAGGGCAGGCTCTCTGGCTTCTGTGTTCCCATTCCAGCAGGTGCCCCCAAAATACTTGGGTGACTATGCAAATAAGGTGGCCGAGTATCTGCACAGGATCATGGAGGGACTTAGCTACCTGGGACTTGGGGCGGCCTCTTCCCTCACCCAGCTCCACCCCCTGGCCTCACGTCTGTATAGACACACCAAGAGGTCCCCCTCTCCACCGCCTGCGTGGCCACCTCCTGAGCCAGCTGGGCCTGCAGCACCAGAGGGGATGGATGCTGAGCATCTGAAGGCTTTGCTGAGGTGGAAGCATTCAGACTGCACCCCGTTCTCACGTGTCGGTAGTCGTGACCCACATGCTGATGACCCGTTTCGGCTCCTGAGCCAAGCAGTACCTGAAGCCAGATCCATGTCTGAACCTAACCACTCACTGAAGTACAGAAGGTAACAAATTCTCCTTTTGCTCACATCACTTTGAGCTGGATTTTCTGGTATTTGCAAAAGATTGTTTTTTTTTTAACAGCTTTATTGAGGTAAAATTCGCATACCATATAATACACGCATTTGAAGTGTATATAATTCAATGCTTTTAGTATAATCATAAAGTTGTGAACTATCATCACAATGTCATTTGATCTTTCATCACCCCAACAGGAAACCCGATAGGTATGAGCGGTCACTCCCCACTTTCCCCTCCCCCCAGCCCCCGGCAGCACCAGTCTGCTGTCTGTCTCTACGGATTTGCCAGTTCTGGGCGTTTCCTATGAGTGGAATCAGACGATAGGGGCCTTTTGGGACTGGCTTCTCCTGGTCAGCATAATGTCCCTGAGGGCCATCCATGCTGTGGTGTCAGGACTTCATTCCTTGTTATGCCTGAGTGACATTCCACTGCATGGTTAGACCCCATTTTGTTTATTCATGATGGACGTTTGGGTTGTTTCCACTTTTGGGCTGCTGTGGATAATGCCACCCTGCTTCATGTGGACATATGCTTCCAGCTGTCTTGGGCATAAGCCTAGGGTGCGACCGTGTTGGCCCGATTCAGCACAAACCAGGACATCAGCCGGAGACGTGGCAGCAGGAGCTGGGCCGCAGGCCTCAGCCGGCACAACAGGCCACCCTCCGCAGGAAGCCGGCCGGAGCTCTGGGCCTTTTCACAGGGGCAGGATGAACGGTGGAAGGTGTGGGCTTCAGGCTGGACGCAAGGATGCTGTTCAAGTGTGCGAGGGTCCCGCCAGGTGCTGGTGTCCCTGCCTGCAAACTAGAGAGCAGGACAGCATCACATCAGTGGACCGCGCACATCCCACCCACCAGCACCCAGGATGGGAGATGCAGCATTCTGCTCCCGCACCTACAAATAACACTGTGATGGGCACACTCGCTCGGGCAGGCAGCGGGACTGCTGGTGGGCACGCGGTCTGCAGCCAACTGTCCCAGTGGAGCCCTAACTGCCACATCCTGCCGGGTGGCCCTGGGCTCCTTCACTCCCAGGGTGGCTGTAAGGTGAGAGTGTGCGTCCCCTTGCCGGGTGCCAGAGGCCCACGCGAGCACTGGGTGACAGTTCCAATGGCCCGCGTGCCTCTCTGACTGCTTCCGCTGGGAGGTTCCCAAGGGCAGGAGGGCCAAGGCGTGTGGGATTCCCTCCTTGTCAGGACACTGCTTGGCCTTCCATGCCCCCCACAGTCCCCTGGGCTCATGGAAAGACAGATACTGGGCTGCATGGCAGGGTGGGGCCCGAGGCCCTGCGTTTCTGAGGCCTTGCTGACGCCGCTGGTCTAGGACACCCATCCAAGGGTGCACAGGCTCCGCCACTCCTCTCCTGTGGGAAGTCTGGTGCCCAGGGAGGCTGGTCAGGGTGCCGACAGTCAGCCTGTGTGGTGCGGGGGCCAGAGGTCTGCTCCTGGCAGGCTGCCCGTCTCCAGTACAGCTGCTGCTCCTGCCCAGGGAGCCTGAATCTCTGCCATCAGCCGCCAGCCCAGCCTGGCTGTGCAGCCAATTCCTGCAGATCTAATCCACCAGCCCTCTGCACCGAGGCCAGGCAGCCGGGGTCCAGCCCTGTGCACGCAGGGCCTT